CAGCTGACCATGGCTCTCGTTCTGTTCCTGCCCTAAAGCTTCAGAGCATGACATGGTACAGGGTTATCTTTCCTCCAGAACCCAGGACCATCATTAGACTCACAAGAGAAACATGACCTCCTGGACCCTGAAACGAATGCAGAAGTCCGTCCTGAAGTAAAAACTCTATCTACCCACATTGAAGAGACTTGCCTAGGCTCAAAACGATGGGAACATTTTTCTACATGAAGATCCGTGATCAAAGCCACATCTAATCTGAAGCATGTTGCTTGCTGTTTTGGAGCGTTAAAAGCAGCTAAGCTGAGAATCTAAGCTACGAGCTTAGCTAAAAGATTGACTTCAGGGAAAAACAAACACCGTCTTGTCGAAGCTCAGAAATTCATAGCTGAAACCTATGCCTTCATCTAAAATGCTGTTTTTCTCTGCAAAAAGAAGCTGAAAACTTGTTTATTGATTTTTTCATTAAAAACTTTGTGACAAATGCTATGCTAATGCATTCAAACTACACAGAATGTCCGCTAGGGGTGGGCGATATGGCTCAAATATAATATTGTGATATTTCAGAGCATTCTGGCAATAACGATAAATGCTGTCTGTACTGAAAATATTCCATAACACAAGTTCATCTTTTAAGTATTACATTTGTTCTATTGAATTATTTCTTTTTTCAGGAAGGCGTGCACACAAGTCAAACACAGACTGGTCTCCTACACTAAAGTTGACAGACACACTTAGTCTGAGAAAGTCAGCAGCAGAGGACCAGCAGGTAATGACACAAGCAACCGGCACAATAATTCAAAAATATTGAAGTAAATCATGACAATGTTTACTAATCTTTTGTTTTTTAAGGTACAGACGAGTGAAGGGCTGAGTTCGATCCAAAGAAAAGCTCCAGTGCAATGACTCTCCTAGATCTGGGTAGTCTCAGATCCTAGACCTGGGTCCAGTCTTGGATCCTGAGGGGTTGGCTGCTCCAGTCGGGCGGTCCCACATGACGAGAATCTGTTCCAGTTTGTTTAAAGTCAGAAACTACACTGGTCTCCATCATTCCTTGTTGAAGTATTTTTGATCTGGTATTTATTCTGTAGCCCACTATGATGAGCTGCATGTAGTCATTTTCATTAAAAAACATAAAATCACCCACAGTTCTCATAGTGTATTAAGTTTCAACTGTTTTGAATTTCTAATTATAGGCTTTGACTTAGAACTGTGTCAGTCTCCTCCTGGAGGAGGAACATACAGAAAAATGCATGTTTCTATGTTTTGTACATGTCAATAAAACACTAAACTGGTAACCTGATGCATGCTCAATAATCCAGGTAGAAAAAAAAAAAAAAAAGTTCAATCTGGTCCTCTGGACATTCAAAAAAAACAAAGCAAAAAAAAAGTAGAAAATGTAGCAAGCTACAGTAAGCTACTTCAGCTTACCTGACGTAGCTCACAGTAAAGATCACTGATATTTACTGTTTCACAAGTTACATCAGCTAAGCTAATCTTTGCTACAGTAAATAACAGTGATCTTAAATGTAGCACAGATTAGCTTAGCTGATGTAGCTGATGAGGGACATCTACGTGTATATTATTGTAACTACTTACTCTGCCAGTCACCAGAACTTTATTAACACGAAGAGTTCGAACGTCCTTCACAAATCCATCATTGATTATAAGCATCATGGATTTAAAGCTTTGAAGCTCCTCCGTTGTAGGCACTCCTCGTGTTCATTAATAATTAACAATATCAAAGTAACTTCTCGGTGACAACTTGTCAGTTTTGTCTGACATAATTTCTTTCTCCACCTCATAGGGACCGCAGCTATTTTATGACTATATCTTGCTCTTGGTCAAGAGTATTAATATACTGAGCTCTGGTCTGTCTGTAAGCCATCTTCTTCACATGCGCTTCAACAAATGGCAGAAAACCTGGTATTGCACAATACCGGTCACGTGTGTGGGAACTATGTATTGATCAATAAATCCACCACAAAAACTAAAGTGCAGGTGAAGTTTCCCAAAATAACTAAATAAAATGAAGCTTAAGATCTGATGAGCATAAATGTAACATACAACAAAATATATGTTGCCTTTAAATGAGCTATAACTTCCAGAACTTGTCACAAGGTGTTTCAGCTGACCCTGAAGCTTGTGGAGTTTCAGCTTCCTCTGTTCCTGCAGGAATGATTCATTTCTCTGATGCTCCGTCTTTCATCACCTGACTCTGGTCTTGGTCCATGGACTGTGGAACTAAGAGACAGACCTGCGTGTGTTTGTACTGGCAGTTTAGAGCGGGGGAGATGCATATGAATGGCCACAGGCGACAAAAGAAGGACGTACAGACCCACGCGCACGACCGAACGAGCCGTGCGAGTGTGAATGGGCAGCGCAGTGCACGTGAAAGAGCAGCGAGCACGAGTGTGAACAACCAGCTCCACACAAATGAATGACCAGCGCCACGCGAATGAATGACCAGTCATAGACGCAGCCCGCACCGGCAGCCCAGAGCGGAGTGGGGAGAGGAAAAAAAAAAGACAAATGGCAGCTGTGTGGGGAGGGAGAGACAGTTGAGCTGTCTGTACCTGCAGTTTAGAGCTGGATGGAGAGACAGCTGAGCCACGCGTTGTTTGTTTTTAGCTTGCGTTACACCAGTACCGACAGGTGAGGGGGGTGCACAGTTCGGTTTGATTGTTCGGCACACATGGTTCTGTTAAAGGGGCAGGGCCCCTTGACGTATTACGTCATGAAATTAGCATATCATGATATAATTTTTTTGCCCAGGCAAGCTTTTTTTATCGGTATTATCGTGAACGATATGATATGACCCAGCCCTACTAGATAGAGTATAATACTAAATTGTTTTATATCGCTATAGTCTCATTTTATATCGTGAATTAAATTATACTGATATTTTAAAAATAGGCAGCACGGTGGCACAACTGGTAGAGCTGCTGCCTCTCAGCGAGCAGGTCCTTGGTTCAAACCCCGGTCCAGGGGCCTTTCTGGGTGGAGTTTGCATGTTCTCTCCGTGTATGCGTGGGTTTTCTCCGGGTGCTCTGGTTTCCTCCCACAGACCAAAAACATGCATGTTAGGCTGATTGGTAACTCTAAATTGTCCCTAAGTGTGAGTGAGAGAGTGAATGGTTGTTTGTCTCGTTTGTCTCTATGTGGCCCTGTGATGGACTTGCGACCCGTCCAGGGTGTACCCCGCCCCTTGCACAGTGATTGCTGGACATGGGCACCGGCGACCCCCGTGACCCAAAATGGAATAAGCGGGTAAAGAAAATGGATGGATTTTAAAAATATCTATTGCCCAGCCCTATACCTTAGAATGTTATAAAGTTTAGAAGTAAAAATTTATGTGTAATAATATTTATTTGATTATGTATTTGTTCATTCATACTAGGGCTGCAACAACGAATCGACAAAATCGATAAAAATCGATGATTAAAAGCGTTGGCAACGAATTTCGTTATCGATTCGTTGTGTCGCGCGATTATGCATCTTTCACGGCGCTGCGGAGCAGTTTCGTTTTGTTCACGGGCAGTTCTTTGTCAATGCTGACTGACTGAATAAAGTTTGAAAAAAAAAAAAACTGCAGCGCGAGTCGAATAGAGCGAGGGGGGAGGAGGAAACAGAGCAGAGTGTTTTCAAAGGAAATTAAGTAAATTTTACAAATGACCAACGCAGCGAAAACTGTTCGACCCAAGTCCTCCAAAGAGTGGGAGAACTTCACAAAGATAAAAAATGAGAAACATGCAGCTTTGAAAATCACCGACACGACACGGTAGAACCACGGAGATGAAATGTAAACATGTCGGAGTCACGAGGAGGAGGAAGGAGCTGCAGCTGATACGTTTCACTCCCAACTCGTGTTGCAGGTGAGTCTCTACAATTTAACACATTGTTCTGTTTCAAGAGAGAAAATGTAACATCAGTCTGTCTGGGAGATGAAGCTGCTTGTTTGTTTGTTTGTTTGTTTGTTTGTTTATCTGATTAATGGCGGTGATAGAGAACGTGTGTTACTTTTTATTTAATTTAATTGGTACAAGCAGTGTTTAAATGTGATTTATAAATAAATCTAACCCAAAGATAATAATTTAATGATTAAGCTTCAACTTTTAATTTGCTGGCAAAGTCTGAAGACACTGCAGGTATGGCAGGAGGAATTGCATTTAAACAGGAATTAAAGTAATTTATTACATCTACTCAAATGTGTGTAATTAAGTATTTTATATGTGTGTGTGTGTGTGTGTTTAATTGCTCTTTTAGCTACTTTTGCCTGAACCTAACGCTGTAAGTGAAACAAGGCATTTCTTGAGTTGCTGTAATAATTATGCTATAATACATATTTACTGTCTCATTCCAGAAAACAACAACAAACAACAACACTCCATGATGGACAGACATCATGGACATCACAGCAGCAGCTGTCTTCACTGAAACATCCTGAACATGATCGTCACTGACATGAGGCCTCTGTCGATGGTTGAAGACGAAGGCTTCACTACAATAATCCACACTTTTAATCCAGGTTACAATAATCCACACTTTTAATCCATGTTACAATAATCCACACTTTTAATCCAGGTTACAATAATCCACACTTTTAATCCAGGTTACACTCTTCCCTCAAGGACACATTTTACAAAGTAGCTACATACTGTGCAGGTATAAAGATACATTTGTATATATTTTTGTGTACATTTATTTTTTTAAGCTATTTGACTAACTTTTATTTTTTTATTATTCAATATTTTACTAACACAATAGTCAAATAGCAACCTGTTTTTAGTGTGAATTGCTATGTCAGTCAAATGTTCAATTTTGGAATAAAGGAGTGGAAATTAAAACGTTGTTTTTTTTTTTTGCCGATTCATCGATTAATCGAAAAAATAATCGTCCGATGAATCGATTATTGAAATAATTGTTAGTTGCAGCCCTAATTCATACCAATCATTCAACCTTTATTTATACAGGTTAGTCTCATTGATGACAGTGGTTCATACCTGACGTGATGAAATTAATCTGAGACAATCGGTGCGGACCATCCAGGTCTTCCTCGAAGTCGATAATGCTGCTTTCTGATGTTTCTTCACAGATGGATTTACCCTGAAGCATCGAGAAGGAATTCGTATTCTTCTTTAGAAGATGCTCAACCTCATGCCTGTTCCAGAATTCAACCTGCATGTCTTTAATCTGTGGAGTTTCTGGTTCTACGTGGTCCAGCCTGCAGTCCCTCTCTTGATTACAGAGCTGCTGGTCCATTGGAACATCCTCCTGCTTATAAACATGTTGATGTGGAAGTTCTGGAAGGACAAAGAAACACCAAATGAAGAATGATATTAGAAATTAAACAAAAAAACAATTATAATTTCAACAGTCTTATACCCAAGGTTTAAACTGGGAGGTCTTTAAAAGACAAATCGTCAATGAACTAACTGTATTTACACTAAAGCCCAACCAATATGGAAATTTTGACTATCGCCAATACAGATATTGGGAGGGGAAGGTGACTGCCTATAGCAGATAATGGCTGCAAATTTTGTCCACTTTTGTCCGCTTTGTCCACCCCCAAAAATCTAGGTAAACAGCAAATGGAGCAGGACTTGTTTATTTAACTCAGCAGTTAGCAACCATGAAGCTAAGCAAATCAGATCCATGCTTTAAATAGTCCCACTGAGCTGCCTTTTGTTCAAAGACAGTAATAAGTTTATCACGTAAGTAAATTACATAAATGAGGTGATAAATAAGTTCATAGCTAATAATTAGTTTAAGGCCCCCTTTAAAAGGATACATCTAGCGGAAACGCAGTTTTCTGGTTGTTGATTCGAGGAAAAATAAAAACTTGTTTACACAATGTCATTCGGTGTTTACATGCAACTGGAAGGAACCCCCCCCAGTCTTCTGAAGTTGCCATACCAGGTCATTAGTTGGCGCTATGAATTTTGTACATTCACCTAATGAGCATGCGCACTGCCTGGGACTGCTGTTAGTAAGAACTTTCCTATATGCTGAAAGCCCAGCTAACAACAAAACTTAAAGCTTGATTTTGGATACGAGCCGACAGATTTGACGCCAAGCGGGACCGCTTCGTCTAACAGCTCAACGCTGGTCGCTGAGCGAACCAGTGCTTGCGAGAATTATGTCAGGCTTCCCACTCCGGTGATAACCAATAGTCGTCAAGCAATGATACAGCAGGTAAATCCACATTCTTGATAATGTTTGCTTGTGTTGTTTGGTTACACAACAACCAACTGAGTTTTTATTTTTCCTGAGAGGAGAAACTATCCTCCCTCCAGAGAGACAGGTTCCGAAAGAGAGCATACACCTCGGCTGTGCAGGAGGACTGAAGAGAGGGATGTTATATCAACTATTCATTTTAAATTCCCCTCAGTTATTTTTTCCAATCCATTCAATGTTTTAAGCTATATTCAGCAAAAGAGTGACAGCCTGAACAAGCCAGATAAACAACATGGTGCCAGTATCCAGGATGACAAGAGAGAAAGGGTACAGTTCATGCAGTTTACAGTTTGGGTTCATGTGTTTTTAAGTGTTTCTTAGTGACATACAGTTTGTGGTGTGGAATAAATAAATAAAAACTTAACCCGTCTTCATTTTTAACATTAATAACATATGCAATATGTTTCACATTATAGCAACAAAGTTTAAATCACATAACTTGAATGACAAAATGTCCAGATAGAGTAGCTTCATTTAGCTCCGATAGCTTCATTACATCTTTTTTTACCATCCAGAAACCATCCAGGTGACCTGACTGAACATTGTTGGATTTTTACCTGGATTATTGAGCATGAACTTTGGCATTCCTATTTTTTTTAATTTCCTCCTCATCCAGAGACAAACACTGATGACGTCTTTCAGATGAAAGACGAAACGTTTCATCCAAAAAAAAACTGTTCAGTTGACACAATTTAACTTGTCGTGACTCCTTTGCTTTTTCCCTGAGACGAAGGAGAACAGGCGAAGGGGAGGAGTGTAGCAGCTCAGGAGGGGTGAGGGTGGGGAGTACCCGATTGACTAAACATGTGGTATAGCCTCCCTGACTATGTGCATCATCAGGTATGCTGTATATGATGATGTTACTGCAGTTTTCTAAAATTGAATGGCTCTATGAAGCAAATGAACCATCAAGATCCAGTTCCCTTCCAAGAACTGGTATATCCCATCTCTAGTAGAGGTACATCAAATAAAGTCCAGTTGTTTTGTATTGAAAACTTTTTGAATCCTGTGACTACAGTTTTGTTAAAATCTGTCAAGTATTTCATGTCATGATATAAGAGTCAGAGTTTCTTTATTTGTCAATTGCATCACATGTGGTACATGTAGTGGAACAAAATTGGGTACACAGGATCCCAGGACCCGTTAGCAGGTCTTGTTAGCAGATCCCTTCAGCAGCATTATGATAAGAAGGACTGCAGCAGCTGCCTCCCAGACTGCATTCCAGAACCGGGTCCAACAGACAGAGAACATCCCAGGTTCCCCACGGAACCAAGCGGATCAGCAGAGTTTGGTCCGATCAGGCAGACGGAGGATCTTGTTAGCAGCATTAGCAGGTTAGCAGATCTAGTTAGCAGGTCCTGTCAGCAGCCCAATGGTAACAATGACCGCAGCAGCTGCCCTCCCAGACAGCCCTCCAGAACCGGGTCCGGCAGACTGAGACCATCCAGGTTTCCCCGTGGAATCCAACGGATCCGTAGAATTCGGTCCGTGAAGGCAGATGGAGGATTATGGAGCCAGCCGCCATGACAGGCCTGAGCCCGAGGCTGGAAGGACTGAACCACGATGGCAGGATGGCAAGGCAGCGACACAGAAAACTCCACAAGTGTGTCGTGGTCATACCCGTACTATGGATGTGCATTGTAGGCCCAAAAAAGGTTAAAACAAAAACAACAGGAACAAAAAAAGATCGAGTTCACCGGGAGAATGTGAAGCTGCAACTCGGCTGAGCGCAGCCATCTTGGCAGCCATATGCTAACAGATGGACAAATACATTCATAAACACTAATTAAAAACAACAACAGCAGGTGATAAAAATTGTATTATAGTAAAAATAACTGGTGACTGTTGTTTCATTAAAACAATAACTATTCAATTGAAGTTCATATTGTAGGTTGCACATCCATATCACTGATTTACAAACTATAAATGTGTTTGAAAAATGTATAGGATTGATCTTGTTTCAAACCAATAAATTCTAACAAGAAAAATAAATAAATATTGTATAATACCTAAGAATGTTGGCAGAAAATAACAGATTTTGTCAATTCTTGTCATGTTGATCAGCAGGGGGTAGCAAAGACAGAGCGATTTAATCAATCAACCTTTATTTATACTTTATTTATACAGGTAAATCCCATTGAGCCTCGAGGACTCATTTACAAGAGACCTGAACAAAGAAAGATGACAACAATGGACAACAGCAACAACATTAAACAGTTATAAAAAAAGCATACTACAGTTTTTTTTTTTTTTTAACAAATACGATGGCTAAAAGGAAAAGGTAACAACAAAAAAAAAAACAGCTAGATTCCAAGACAAATGTAGAAAACTAAAAACAGGAACATGTCAGCATACCTGCCAGGTGTCCAACAGATTCTTAAAGACACTTAGAGAGGTCAAGGTCGAGAGCTTCAAATCTTTTTGTAAGATATTCCAGGAAACAGGAGTGGAGTAGGAGAAGGCCCTTTTGCCTAGTTCAGTCCTCATTGAGGCAACACTGCAGGTAATAATGTCCTGAGAGCGCACTCCGTAGCTGCACTCACGCAGAGACATGTAGGAGGAGATTTATGAAGGCAACAGACCAAGAAGTGATTTAAAGATGAAAATGTACCAGTGAGAGAGTCTGCGTGAAGTTAATGATGTCCAGTTAACCAGTGAATACAGTGTGCAGTGGTGGGTACGATAATCACAGCCAGTTATGAATCTTAGTGCACCATGATAGACAGCATCCAACATCTGCAGGGTTCTTGTAGGAGCGTTCATGTAAATAATGTCACCGTAATCAATGAAGGGAAGGAAAGTCACAGATACAAGGCGTTTTCTAGCATTCAGGGTTAGACAGGATCGGTTTCTGAAAAAGAAACCCAGTTTAACTTTCAGTTTCTTTATCAAGTTTTCCACATGAAGCTTAAAAGAGAGATGTGAGTTGACCAAGATACCCAAATATTTATAGGAATCAACAAACTCAATGGGGACACCATTTGAGGATAAAATCGGAGGAAGAACTGCTGGAACCAACTTCCTATTTGAAAAAAGCATCCCTTTGGTTTTGTCAGCATTTAGGACAAGTTTGAGGCGGAACAAATCAGTCTGGATGATGTTGAATGCAGATTTCAAAAGCTGGAAAGCCTTAGCAACAGTTTTAGCTCGACAATAAACAACTGTGTCATCTGCATAGAAATGTATGAGATTGAAGATGTGGGTCACAGGGACTGTGATGATATGAGCAGCCAGCCTTAAGAAATAAGGTGGAAGTTAATCTGGACCTGCAGATTTTTTAGGGTCAAGATCTTTTAACAGATTATTAACCTCACTGACTGAGAATGGAGAAAAAGAGAAGCTGTGATTAACTGAGGATTGACTTGTAGGAGGGATTTGATTTGTAGAAGTTTGATTATTAAGTGAAATGTGAAGTTGGCAGAAATGGACTTCCATACTTCAAAGCACATTATGATTATTGTAAAGATCAACAAAATCTAAATAAAAAATTATTTGGTTGGTTGCATAGGTTTAAGTCTCGAGAAATAAAACATTTTTTTTTACCACTATCAGCTGGAAGCTTCATCATCACTAGTTCCAGTGTACATCAATCTAGCTCCCCCTTTTCTTCTACAAACTGTGGGTTTACATTTTTCTGCGTTCCTCGTTAATTAGTGCGTGAAAAAACAATTGCAGCGTCATTTTACTCTGTTATTAATAAATGTAAGGTAGAACTTTGATGAGGATCCTACTGGTCAGTTTTAAGTGATAATATTGTCAGACCAGTCCAGTGTTTCATACCTGCTGTGTGGAAGTTTCTCTGGGCTTTCTTCTTGCAGGTATCCAGCAGTCTGCGGTGACGATCGATCTCTTTCTCGAACAGGACGATGGTTTTATCAAACTCTGTGAATATTTCTTCAACAGCAGCTGTTAGTCGCTCTCTGATAAACTCTCTCAGATGATGAACTGAAGACATTGTTATTGAAACGCTCAGTTATTCGACTGAGCCCAAACTGGACAATAAGCTAAGCTAACGATACTTTTAGCTGTTTATTTATTTTTTCCGGATGTCAGTCTCTGAACTTCCGGCACAGTTAGCTTTAGCCGACGCTATCACCTATATTTTGTGGGTGAAGGTTCTCATTCATCCAGGCCACGGGTCTTATAAAGTTCAAATGAAAGCAGCAGAATTCGTTGCTGCTTCCCATAGGAGGAAATTTCTTCGTTTACAATGCCTAAACCCGCTGACCTGTCCGCCATATTGAACAGGGACGTTGACGTATCGCGACCATATTGGGCAGGGAAAAAAAAGATTACAAGTGGAGAAGATGTTAGACAATTATTTTTAAACAGGTTTATCTATCTATCATATATATATATATATATATGGGACGTTGACGTATCGCGACCATATTGGACAGGGAAAAAAAAGATTACAAGTGGAGGGGAAAAAAGACTACAAGTGGAGAAGATGTTAGACAATTATTTTTAAACAGGTTTATCTATCTATCATATATATATATATATATATATATATATATATATACATATATACACACACACATACATATATACACACCCACACCCATGCACCCATGGGGCAATACGGTGGCACAACTGGCAGAGCCGCTGTCTCTCAACACGCATGTCCCTAGTTCAAATCTAGGTCCGGGTGGCCTTTCTGGGTGGAATTTGCATGTTCTCTCCATGCATGTGTGGGTTTTCTCTGGGTACTCTGGTTTCCTACCACAGATCTGTTAGGGTGCATTCACACCAGCCCTGTTGTCCCGAACTCTAGCCCGTTTGCCTAGGAAGTCCGGTTCGTTTGGGGAGGTGTGAACACGCCATCAAACTCTGTCACGGAATAAAAAGGCGTACTCTGGCCCTGTCTAACAAACCTAGGTCTCGGTCCGGTAGAAGAAAACTCCAGCGCAGTTCGAGTACAGTGTGAATGTAAGCTCCACAAGCAAGAAGTTGAGTACAGCGCAGGGCAAACAAACACGCATTTCTCTTACCTCATATGGAGCCGTCAGCTGACTTGTGTGAAAAACAATATTCTCCATGGTCTTCTGCCTCATCTTCCGCTCATGCTGAGTCCATTTTTGAAAAAAATGACAAAATATAACTCATAAAACTGCTAAAATTTGACGCCACTCCATTTTTGTTTTTATTTCCAGAAGAAGAAGAAGTGTGCGTCTTCGTCAGAGGTTTTTGTGTTGTTTCTTTCAGTTGTTCTTGGTGCAGTGCCACCACGGGCGAGCGGGGGAACAGGTTGATTCAACAGGTTGGGTCGACTGCACAGTGAAGTGTGAATGCAAACGCACCAGCTCAAATGTAAACAAAAGGTCATGAATATTGGTCCCCAACCGAACCGAGTCTACTGGACTATCTGGTGTGAAAACAACCTAAGATTAAAATCAGACACCACTCTGAGCAGCAGGACGACGCTTTCCACAGAACAACTGTGTCAACTCTTGAAACTGTGCCTGCAGTCAACCTACTTCACATATGGGGAGCAATATTATAGGCAGAAACATGGGTGTGCTATGGGGTCTCCAGTTTCTCCAATTGTTGCCAACCTGTACATGGAGGAGGTAGAAAAGAGAGCCTTGACGTCCTTTTCAGGGACACCACCAAGTCATTGGTTCAGGTATGTTGACGACACCTGGGTTAAAATTAAATCTCAGGAAGTCCAACATTTTACTGACCACATCAACTCTGTGGATAAACACATCAAGTTCACACGAGAAGATGTAAAAAATGGCAAGTTGGCTTTCTTGGACTGTGAGGTCTCAGTCTCGGATAGAGGACATTTGCAAACCGAGGTGTACCGCAAACCCACTCACACAGACCAGTATTTGCAGTTTGACTCCCATCACCCTTTGGAGCACGTTAGGAGTCATGAGGACTCTGTATCACAGAGCAGACAGCGTCCCCACTAAGTCAGGAGCCAGGCAGAAGGAGAAATCCCACACAAGACAGGCTCTAGAGCAATGTGGATATCCTAACTGGGCCTTCCTAAAAGCAGAGAAGAAACCCAAACAGGACTCCAGTCAGCCAACAGGTGAAAAGGAGGAACCCAGACCCAGACCAGTGGTCATTCCGTATGTTGAGGGAGTATCAGAGAAACTGAGACGTTTATTTTCTAAACCAATGTCCCAGTGGCTTTTAAACCCCAAAATACATTACGGCAAAGACTGGTTCATCCCAAAGATCCAGTCCCCTGGCACAAACAGAGTAAGGTTGTGTATGCTGTTCAGTGTCAGGAGGGCTGTGATCAGTCTTACATCAGGGAAACTAAACAGCCACTGACCAAAAGGATGGCCCAGCACAGAAGAGCAACACGGGTAGCAGGCCAGGACTCTGCGGTCTACACTCATCTCCAGGCCAGCGGTCACTCTTTCAGGGATGAAGATGTTCACATCCTGGATAGAGAGGAACGATAGTTTGACACAGGAGTAATGGAGGCCATCTTTGTGAAAAGAAATAGTCCATCATTAAACAGGGGTGGAGGTTCAACTGTCCCCCTCTTACACTGCTGTTATTGCTAGTATCACTCAACCCTCTGTGAATAGTAAACAGCCATCAGTGTGCTAATGATCCATTGTTAGGCTGATGGTCCTTCTTGACCATGTGAGCAGCTGGTTTTGGTTGTCAGCAGCAAACTGGTTGATCCACTCTGAGAAGGTGCTATTTAAGAGTTTGAGTTGAATACAGCACCTCAGACTGAGGAAGTCTTTCGGATGAAAGACAAAACGTTTCTACATTTTTTTTGTGTTGCTTTGTTTTGTTTTTTGAATGTCCAGAGGACCAGATTTAAATTTTTTTGATTTTTCTACCTGGATTATTGAGCATGCATCAGGAGGGCGGTAGTTAGTTTACCATAAAATTCCATATAGAGCGCCCCATCATTTACTAACTCTATGGACATGGACATGTTTTTTGATTTTTACGATAATACGGGCCAAAGTGTGCCCTGTTGCAGTTTGGTACGGAACTTGTACTTTTGTTTCTAAATACAGGACAATTCCATTTTTTACAGGACGGTTGGCAGCCCTTGGTTGAAGCCAAAGGAGGCTTGAGGCCCACAGCAGATGAGGAGGCAGAGTGAGAGGCATCCTCCAGGACCCCCTCGAGAACACAGGAAGGAGGAGGAGGTGGGTCGTCATACCCGATATCCACGGAGCAGCACGGAACCATGTAAAACGCCTCCGGATGCTTTATCTGCAGTGAGCTAATTATGTCATACAGTTCCTTTGATACTTTATCATTAGCACCCGGTGGGATGTAAACAATGAAACACTGTACACTGCAGTAAACTCCTGTGGCAGATAGTATGGCTGACATTTCACAGTAATAAGTTCTATCACCTCAGAGTAGTAGCTTTTTACCAGTCCACAGTTCGTACACCAGTCTTCATTCATGAACATACAGAGTCCTCCCCCCCCATGTTTTTCCTGACTGATGGTCACAGTCTGCTCAGAATAACTGAAGACTGTTGATCTGGAAAGCTGAGTCTGGTATGTTGTTGTTAAGCCAGGTTTCAGCACAGTCCATCATCTCTGTATAAACACTCGTCATATGTAACAAGTCCATTTTGTTATCCAGTGAGCGGACATTGGCCAGAAAGAGAACAGGAATTGGTGACCTTCACCTTTAGGTGGGCTAACGCTCCTGCCCACTTCCCCCTCTTCTGTTTACGGGCATCAGTTCAGATGAGCTGTACTTGAGCCATGAATTTAGTACTGAACTAGTGCCTAAAACAGCCTCATAAAAACTAAAAAAATTAAAATAAGTATTAATCCCGGGAGCATGAGAAGCCGGTGCACTTCTGTGCATCGCCATAGCACAGACACACATATACACAAACTTGTGCATTATTACTTATTCATTCATTATATTATATTGTATTTTAACTGCAGCTAGCTCTGCCAACATGACGGGTTTAAACAGGTCTATTTCTGTCTAATTCAACATTTTAAAATATCTATTACAGCTTAAATTTTGAAAGTTGATTGTTTTTTTTAATGGTAATTCCAGTTACTGAACTCTCAACTAGAAAATATTTAGCCTTTTTTTCTGAGAGACTGACATGGTTAATTTAGTTCAAGTTATAGATCCTTTGTCAAAGACTGCAACATAAACAAGGACTATCATTAAAGAAAAACGTGATCGTGGAGATGAGTAAATTTTTTAAATGTTTTTCAGGTAAACCACAAGAGAATGACTTCAGTGAACTGAATGTTGCATTCAAAGTATTACACAGGATCTCATTTTCTGTCTTCCCAATTTATTTTTGCACAATTACTTATTTTGTCATCTGTTATGATTTTAACTAGAAACAGTTTCATTTAAATTAACAATTAATCAATCAATGAATTACAATTTTATAATAGTTGTCAGGCACTCCAGGTACTCAGTTATTTAAAATAAAAAATGACAAATAGAACAATTATATCCAGGTCTCTCTTGTAAATGAGTCCTCGTGGCTCAATGGGACTAACCTGTTTAAATAAAGGTTGAATTAATATCTTATACAGAAATCATGAATTCATCCAGATGATCTAAGGTAAGCTGGAGCAGATCTGAACTGCTGCATGGAGGACAAGGTGGAGCATTCTCATGCAGAGAACATCAGAAATAGCTTTATATAGGTGCTACTGATTTTTTACGTGTGTAACGTTATTATAAAACACAGTTGACATGGCTATATTGATCATTGTATTGCAGACTTTTTTTCTAACAAATATGCGTTTGCAGTCTCGTTTCACTCTAAAATTTGATGATAAATGTATCAGCCGCGTCTAAAAATACTGATAAAATGCATAGTCAATGAAATAATCAGTAATCAGTTAAGTAATCAGTTTGTTACTGCTCAATAATTACCAAAAGTTGCCGGGCAAAGAAAAGTCAATTTTTGCATTATGTCGCACCAGTAGGCGCTCAAACTGACTGACAGAGATGAGCTGTTTGGAACTACTGAGAGCTGCATGAACCACGTGACCGCGTATTGGCGAGTTCAAAGAGTGTCGCAACTTTCTTTCTCTATGGCACTGGATCTGTCCAGGGTGTACCCCGCTCCTCGCACAGTGATTGCTGGACATGGGCACAGGCAACCCCCGTGACCCACATTGGAAGAAGTGGGTAAAAGATAATGGACGGATGGATGGCTTTTTAGAAATGTTGGCCAACTGAAAAGTGTCAGTCTGAGGCACTGCTCAGGTGTTATGAGCCCAGGTTGCTCTGATAGTGGCCTTCAGCTCTTCTGAATTGTTGGGTCTGACGTATCACATCTTCCTCTTCACAATACTCAATAGATTTTTTTATGGGGTTAAGGTCATGTCAGTTTGCTGGACAAATAAGAACAGGGATACCATGGTCCTTAAACCAGGTACTGGTAGCTTTGGCACTGTGTGCAGGTGCAAAGTCCTGTTGGAAAATGAAATCTGCATCTCCATAAAGTTGGTCAGCAGCAGAAAGCATGAAGTGTTCTAAAACTTCCTGGTAGACGGCTGCATTGACCTTGGACCTCAGAAAACACAGTGGACCAACACCAGCAGATGACATGGCACCCCAAACTATCACAGTGGAAACTTGACACTGGACCTCAAGCAACATGGATTCTGTGCCTCTCCTCGCTTCCTCCAGACTCTGGGATGTTGATTTCTAAAGAAAATGCAAAATTTACTTTCATCAGAGGACATAACTTTGAACCAATCAGCAGCAGTCCCATGCGAGACGATTCTGACGTTGTCTCTTGTTCAAGAGTGGCTTGTCACAAGGAATATGACAGCTGAAACCCATGTCTTGCATATGTCTGTGTGTGGTGGTTCTTGAAGAACTGACTCCAGCTGCAGTCCACTCTTTGTGAATCTCTCCCACATTTTGGAATGGGTTTTGTTTCACAATCCTCTCCAGGGTGCTGTTATCACTATTGCTTGTACACCTTTTTCTCTACCACATATTTTCATTCCCTTCGCCTCTTTATTAATGTGCTTGGACACGGAGCGCTGTGAACAGCCAACCTCTTTAGCAATGACCTTTTGTGTCTTGCTCTCCTTTTGCAAGGCATCAATGGTCATCTTTTGGACAACTGTCAAGTCAGCAGTCTTCCCCATGCTTGTGTAGTCTACTAGACAGAGATTGTTTAAAGGCCTTTGCAAGTGTTTTGAGTTAATTAGCCGATTAGAGTGTGGCACCAGGTCTCTTCAATATTGAACCTTTTCACAATATTCTAATTTTCTGAAATACTGAATTTGGGGTTTTCATTAGTTGTCACTTATTATCATCAACATTAAAATTAATAAGCATTTGAAATATATCAGTCTGTGTATGAATATAATATACAAGTTTCACTTTTTTAATGGAATTACTGAAATAAATCAACTTGCTCATGATATTCTAATTTTATGACCAGCACCTGTACATCCTTCCACCACTTTGCTGTTACAAATGCCAGCAATATGGACACATAACAGCAGTGTACAAAGGCAAGTAGAGGTGTCCAAAGTGTGGTGAAAATCACAAGATAGAAGAATGTAGAGAAGTACAGGAAAAATGTTGCAATTGTGGAGGGCAACATAGTTAAATAGAGGTTGTGAGGCGAGGAAAACAGCCACAGAAATCCAACAGATTAAAATGACAAAAAAATAAATAAAAATGCAGAGGCAGTCAAAAGTGTAAAAGGAACCGAACTGAACCGAACCAGTTCAGTTGGGGACCAATATTCAGAACATTTCTTTACACTTTCAGATGGTGCGGTTAGCATTCACACTGCAATGAGTCAATCGAGCCGAAGTTATTTTGGTCTGTACCTTTAGATTTTACACTTTTCCGCCCAGAAAAAATTTAAATACAAAAAACTAAATAAATCCATAATGCAAGTTTATTTATTTTTTAGGTCCTCTCATTTCTGGAGACCTAAGCCCCCATTTGCAACAGTGCTTGGAATTATTATGACAAAAATCAAAATGCAAAAGTAAAATATAATGCAATCATAATTTTGTTTTGTGAAATAATCTGTCAAAAGTAGAAATATCATATACAATAAACAAACAATGGAGGAGTTGGAATATTTCTGACAATCTTTAAGTTTTTCTTTTTTCTCTCGATCCATTCAGGGTATGACATAAACTCACATTCAAAGACAAAACACCATCAGTTTTCAGGACTACTCACCTGTGTGAGCTTTTCATGTGCAAGAACAAGTGGCTACTCTGACTGAATCTTTTTGCACAGATTTTACAGGAATAGGGCTTTTCCCCTGTATGAGTTCTAATGTGATACTGTAGGCTAGTCTTGGTTCTTAAACATTTTCCACACACATTGCAGGAATACGGCTTCTCGTTAGTGTGGGTCCTCAAATGAACATTCAAAGCTCCAGTTTGTGTGAAGCCTCTTCCACATATTTTGCAGGAGTATGGTTTTTCACCTGTGTGCGTTCTCATGTGACACATCAGGCTAGTGCTGGATCTTAAACTTTTGCCACACACATTGCAGGAATATGGCTTCTCGTTGGTGTGGGTCCTCAGATGAGTCTTTAAAGCCCCTGTTTGTTTGAAACTTTTTCCACATTCTTTGCAAGAATGTGGTCTTTCATCAGTATGGATTCTCATATGATAAGTCAAACTGTTACTCTGAGTAAAACTTTTATGGCAAATTTCACAAGTAAACGGTTTCTCACCTGTGTGAGTTCTCATGTGACGCAACAAATGACTTTTCAGTCCAAATTTGTCTCCACAGGTCTGACAGGAATATGGCCTCTCACCTGTGTGTGTTATCATGTGGCGCAACATGCTGTGACGTTGACCAAAACTTTTCATACACATCTCACAAGAAAAAGGCTTCTCTTTTTGATGACAGTTCACTGACGTCAAGTCGGAGAACCTTTTTCCACAAGAGTTGAAAACATACGGTTTTGTTTCATCTGCGTCCAAACTTGATTCTCCTCTTGAAGGTGATGATGCAGAGCTGTGAGAGAGGAGCTGGGTGCTGGTTGGTCCTGATTTGATGCTGTCACACTCATCATCATAATTAATCACCAAGACATTAATGTCATGCATCAGAACTGCTTGCTCCTCATCCTGACTGCTACAAAATTCTTCTGGTTCCTCTTTGATTTGTAGAGATTCTGGTTCTCCCTGTTTTTTTTTTATCTGTGGAGGTTCTGGTTTCTCCTGCACTTCTTTGTTCTGTTGTAAAACTCTAGTCTGGACCTCCTGGTCCAAAGTAGAGTTTCTACCCCAGACATGTTGGTTGTCCTGAAGGTCATCCTCTTCAGTCATATGTTCCTGTGGAAGTTCTGAGAAGGACAAAGTGACAAAAACGTAATTAGTACTAATGCCAAATATATCTTAGAGAAAATCTAGTTTTCAATTGCCCTAAAACCGGAGCCCCTTATTAAAATCTTTAATTATTTGAAGACATCTTCACTCGGATCATCTATTGAGGTGATCTGAAAAATGTTATATGCATACGATTGGTTCTTTAATGCTGCTTGATTTTCCATATTTTGTATCTTTTAGGCTATTAGATCTTCATAAAAGTGCAACTCAAATGACTGTTATTGTAACAATATTTGATTTTTTTGTAAAATTTACATAAACATTGGCAGACCTACTGTCACAAAGCTGCTCAGTAAGCCCACTGTGTGACATGTTGATTTTGCATGTCAAGCAGTTAACATAGGGCTCCCACTGCACTAAAAATTTATTCAAAAACCTTTTCTAACAACAAGCAGAAGTTCTAACCAGTTCTCCTATAAGGTATTGTCTGTTACTTAAGAGACTGCCTACACTGTCCATAGACAGCAGCGCAAGATCAGTTTCTGGGCACTTTGCTCTGGGTCTGCACAGTACTAGACAGATTAGCAGTTTCTCAGTAGCTGAGATACAAGTAGAAATATTTATATAAAACAAAAGAAAAAATAAGAAAGAAGCCAACTTTACTACAGGAGAATGTCAACTACAGGAGAATTAAGATGATGAGTCATACAATTAAGATTTGGGAGAAAGTTATGGAAGCTAAACTTAGATGAAAGGTGATTATTTGTGAGCAGCGGTATGGTTTCATGTCGAGAAAGAGACCCTCAGATACCATCTTTGCTTTGAGAATGCTAATGGAGAAGTACAGAGAGGGTCAGAAAGAACTCCATTGCGTCTTTGTGGATTTAAAAAAAAGCACATGACAGAGTGTCAAGGGAGGAGGTGTGGTATTGAATGAGGAAATCTGGAGTGGTAGAGAAGTATGTTAGACTGGTACAGGACATGTACCATATTTTTCGGCCTATAAGTCGCAGTTTTTTGCATAATTTACATGCCCTGCAACTTATAGGCCGAAGCAACATATTTATGGATTTTTTCCCATATTTATAAACCATTTTTTGGCTGAGATATGACTGTTTCCATTCATTCTGACTGAAAAAAGAGCTGTACCACTTTCAGCCACTTGATGGTAGCAGAGTAGTAATAGTTAAATGACATGCTGTTGACTGTTGTATCATGTAATAGGTAAATGTGGCTATGACAAATTCAAAAAAGTTCAAAACAAAAACAACTGGACTTTATTTATTATATTATATTGTTTTTTTCTTGAACTTTATAGAATTTACCATGTCCTGGATGACGGAGTATCTTCAACAGCTTTTAATGACTCAATCGGCCTGCCAAAGTCTCCCCACCTTCAGTCTGCTCTCTGCTTGGAACTGTCAAAACAGCTGCACCACCCTGGCGAAATGCAGCTGATTTGACCATTAAAGTGCATTTATTAAGCAAATTTTAGACTGAGATGCACTTTTGCTATAATTTCGAGCAAACAAATAATTGTTTAGGTGCTTTTCTTGTTAAATTTCGGAGAAAAGAGCCACATTCCTCCTTCCTTTTTCTCGTCCTCTGCGCGTTCACAGAGCACCGAGGCAGCAAAACTATTTTTTAAATAAAGCTGATTTGACCATTAAAGTACATTTATTAAGCAGACGTTGGACTGAAACACACCTTGACTAGAATTTTGAGCAAACAAATAATTGTTTAGGTGCTTTTCTTGTTAAATTTCAGAAAAACGAGCTGCGTTCTTCCTCCCTTTTTCCTCTCTGCACGTTCACGGAGCACCAAAACTATTTTTTAAATGCAGCTGATTTGATCATCAAAGTGCATTTATTTAGCAAACGTTAGACTGAGAGACACATTTACTATAATTTTGAGCAAACTGATTGTTTTTAAGTGTTAATCTTGTTAAATTCTTGTTAAAGTCCTCCCGTGCACGCTCCCGTGGCCACAATTTGGCAGCCCATCAGATTTTGGCCACATTTCTGGGTTCGGCCCACATTTCCGGGTTGTCGGCGGTAACGTGTAACAAACGTGACACGTCAGCGGTGATGCATAATAGATGCAACATATACGGCAATGCGACATATTTATGGATTTTTCCACTTTATTAGACAAATATGGACTGATGCGACTTATAGGGCGGTGCGACGTGTCTGCCAGAAAATATGGTATGAGGACAGTAGGACAGTGGTGGAGATGAGCTGTAGGAATGATGGATAGCTTCAAGGTGGAGGTGAGATTGCAACAAGGCTCAGCTCTGAGCCCCTTCTTGCTTGCTCTGGTGATGGACCGACTAACAGATGAGGTCAGGCAGGAATCCCTGTGAACTATTATGTTTGCAGATGGCACTGTGGTCTGTGGTGAGAACAGGGAACAGGTGGAAGAGAACTCAGAGGTGGCAATGTGCACTTGAAAGAAGAGGAATGAAAGTCAGCCGTGGTAAGACAGAGTACATGTCTGAATGAGACGGAGGCTGGTGGAACAGTGAGGCTACAAAGAGCAGAGGTCACAAAGGTGCAGGACTTGAAATACTTAGGGTCCACTGTCCAGGAAAATGGGTAGTGTGGTAAAGAGGTAAAAAAAAAGAGTCCAGGCAGGATGTAGTGGATGGAGAAAAGTTTCAGGCGTGATTTACGACAATTGGTGTCAGCAAAGCTCAAAAGAAAAGTTTAGAAGATAATGGTGAGAACAGATATGTTGTGTGGTCTGGAGACAGTGGCACTAAAAAACAGACAGGAGACAGAACTAGAAGTGGCAGGAATGAAGATGTTGAGGTTCTCTTTAAGAGTAACAAGGTTAGATATGATCAGGAATGAGGTCATCAGAAGTAAACAACTGGGAGATAAAGTTAGGGAGGCCAGGCTGAGATGGTTTGGACATGGCCAGAGGAGGGACAATGGGTATGTTGGTAGAAGGATGTAAGAAATGCAACTGCCAGGACAAAGACAAAGAGTAGATATATGGATGCAGTTAGAGAGGACATGGAGGTAGTTGAGTGAGAAAAGAGAATGCAGAGGACAGAGTGAGATGGAGGAGGATGACATGCTGTGGCAACCCTTGAAGAGGGAAAAGCCAAAAAAAGAAAAAAAAAAAATTCTGGAGCTGCTGGCCATTCACCCAACCCTTTCTTCACCTCTTGGTGAACACACCTGGATATCTCAACTATACGTTGAAAAGGACACACAACAACACTGTGGTGGCTTCTTCCAACAGGCAACAACAACAGGTCCTGAGATCACTATGGCTCTACACGCTGGCCCACAAACTGATCAATTAGAGCAGAAATATTGTCCGAGTCACCCAGTTCACAGGTGTGCTGAACTGTGGAAAGATCTCTTAAGGAAGAACTCTAAGTATGCAGAATGGAAACTCTTCAAGAAAGTGCTGGCCAGGCTGAACTGGCAGAGGTACAGACCCTTTCAAAAAAATTAGAATATCATGGAAAAGTTGTTTAACTTCCATAATTCCATTCAAAAAGTTAATCTTAAAAATTAATAAAGTTAATAAATGATAGATTCAGGGCCCACAATTTAAACGATTTCAAGTATTTATTTGGGCAGCTGTGGCTGAGTGGTTAGAGCAGTCGTCCTCCAATGCAGGAGTTGGGAGTTCAAATCCACCAGCAGTCACATGCCGAAGTGTCCCTGGGAAAGATACTGAACCCCTCATTGCCTCAATGTGTGTCCCATTGGTGTATGAATGTGATCTAAAGCCACAAAAAGCCACATTTTGCCCTTCACTAGATTTTTCATTGATATGCTTGGATACAGCACTCTGTGCACAGCCAGCCTCCTTAGCTATGAACTTTTGTGGTGTAATATGCCCGGACAGCTTTGCTATGGACACAAGGGCCACCGTTTATGTTATTTAAAACACGTACGGGCCACAGAATGTAGTGAAAGTGGGGAGACAGCTTAACTGTTGCTTCACTACTAAAAATTTAAATACAATGGGTTCTTTCTTTTTCGAGTTAAATTAATGCAATGTGACCAAGATAACTGTGTTCAATGTTTAATCAGTGACATGAGACGCCATTTTCTTTGACCCATCAGAATAAATGCGGTCATTTATTTAACAGAATCAAAATTTAACATCAAAACATGTACACAAGGATTTGTTGATCTGGTTCTGATTAATAAAAACTTGGCACGCTAAACTAACAAGACAACAGAACATTTCTGAAGGCATCTAGATTGATTTACTGGTGAAAAGATTTACAAGAGGAGAGATTTAGAGGAAGACGGATGAAGGAAAGATGTATGTTTTGTTGACCAGAATTAGCACGCTTCTCTCAACACCAGCTCAAACCTCCGGTACACTTAGTGCGCGACAACTCGTTACCTTCGCAGAATCAGCTTCGGTACCGGGTCCATTTCAACGCTACCTTTCCAGCATCTCTGGTTAAAGTGGCTGGTCATTGTCAGAAGTCGTGTGGTTTGCTCTGTCAAACAGAACAAGCTTCCTTCGAAGTT